AAGTGCAAGGTGCATTTGCACGTGAATGTTGCGACACGTTTCACATTAACTCACTTAAACAGAGCTATCAAACACTCATTTCTTTTTCTCTCGCAGATTATCGGGCTGTTCACTAACTGCAATGGGTTTTCGAGCATCTGAAAATCGTATGGTAGGAAAAGGACCTGCATCAAATGGTCGGCGATGCTAACGGAGCTGAGAGATAGCGAGGTACTTTGAAAATTGGATCTACTATGTACTAGATAATGGGGACGTAGTCTGGTATCAGACGACAGATAGGCATTGTCATTCTCTGGATACAATCCGCTGACCCTTACTTTAGAAAAGATAACTCCCAGAGTCGGCAAATGTGGGATATGCCCCCTCGGGGGGGGGGGCAACAGACCCCTTCGGCAGGGGTGATGAGGGCGTCTGGGAAAATAATAGTTTATTTTTAGAATTCATGGTTTGCACGGATTGATAAGGTGGTTGATGTGAAGCATTGCTTGTTTGTTTACTGAGGGTAGGCCTGTCTAATCATACCATTTTAGAGCTGGAAGCATTATTGGAATTAGGGAAAACATTGGTCTGAGCGGGTATGGTGAATCGTCGAGGCTGAGCCCATCCATCCAGGCCACCCATGAACCAGCCCCACCCCCCTTCCCAAGCACTTACTGCATCCGGCTACAGACCTGTGCTCCTATGGGAGCTGCTCGAATGCGATATAGTTGCCCGTCCAGCTCGAAACAGGGTTTGAGGCATGGAGGAGAAGGATTCTACTATCCTGGAGATGGAAAGGACGGATTAACGGAACACTTGGAAAGTGTGAACTGCGTCGAATCACTGGTCTGCCCTGGCATTGTCTCGAGAGAGAGGTTACAAGTGAAGGTCGCTGAGAGTGGGACAATGACAATTTTGTATTAGGTGTAAAAGTGATAAAATGGGTCCTGGGAGACACTTTAAGCCGAGTTGTTATGACGCGCTACGCCTTACGCGGGTAATTTGTGAAAGCCGGATAGGTTCTTTTTTTTTGCTAAGAGTAGGCATGACTACCCTGCATTTGAATTTAACTTTACTCCTAGGAGGGTGGTTAACAATGGTATTGCGGATAGGCGCTTAGGCGAGGCACAGGTTTACTCCCAATCCTCGGTTAAATTGTTTTCTGTTAGGGGTTCTCATATGAGAGGGTAATGGGCTAATGGCTCGGCTCTGTCTAGCTTCCAAAAAGAAAGCACCGCCCAGGGTACGTGCCAACCACTAGGTACTTTAAATGGACAATTGTTGTTGATAATGACCGTTTGTTGCCATCTCCCCGTTCGCGAACCCTTAAGTTATGCTTCCTCATTCAGGCTCTTAGGCGGGTAATAAAGCATGAGGGATGTGGGTTCCGCATTCTCCAGCAATATTTGTCAACAGTTGGTGAATTATATGTTAAAAACAAACTAGCATATACGGCGGTTTAGTGTACTTTATGTCCGTCTGATGTGCCCGTCGTTGCGTTTTCGCAACGCTGATGGCGCCCGTTGTGCCCTTCGTTGCGATTTCGCAACGCACGTTTTTTACGTTTTTCTCGAAAAACTTTTGCTGCCGGCAAAAATTATTTTCGATTCCATGCAAGGCCCTGGTAGAAGCGTAACATATCCTGATTTCATCGATTTTCATGATGGTCAATATTCCTGGGCATAAATGGGTTAATCTAGTGTATAGGGCTTCTTGCCTCAGGCCGTGGGGCGTTTTGCCCTGGGGTTGGGGCAAAATGCCCCATTTGCAGTTGCTTCACAAATCACTTCCTAGCTGGGAGTCCGATCACATGTGAATGAATTTGAGGGATGGAATTTAAAATAAATGTCCAAAGAACAAATTGAGCACAAATTTGGCCTTCCAGGTCAAGGTGATGTGAGACAAAAGAAGGTACCTATGTAGCAAAATAAATTATCTGGGGCGTCTTGCCCAAGGCTACCCTACTTTATACCCTACGTACATTTGCTATGCGTAGGCTTTTGTACGTGACGTACTTTTGTCCATACGTACTTTATACCCTACGTACTTCTGCGATACGTACTTTTGTCCGTGACGTACTTTTGTCCGTGACGTACTTTTGTCCATACGTACTTTTTACCCTACGTACATTAGCTATACGTACTTTTGTCCGTGACGTACTTTTGTCCATACGTACTTTATACCCTACGTACTTCTGCGATACGTACTTTTGTCCCAGACGTACTTTTGTCCATACGTACTTTATACCTACAGTACGTATTTCTGCGATACGAGCTTTTGTCCCTGACGTACTTTTGTCCATACGTACTTTATACTGTACGTACTTCTCCGATACGTACTTTTGTCCTTGATGTACTTTTGTCCATACGTACTTTATATTGTACGTACTTCTGCGATACGTACTTTTGTCCCTGACGTACTTTTGTCCGTACGTACTTTATACTGTACGTACTTCTGCGATACGTACTTTAATCCTACGTTCTTTTGCTTACGTACTTTTGTCCTACGTACTTAAGCGATACGTACTTTTGTCCGTAACCCCTGTATCTTACAGTGTACGTATTTTTAGGGATGCACCTGCAGCCTACCTGTACCAATACCATTAGCAATGGGCATTTGACCTCGTTAATCGTTATACATGATCTGTGAATTGTGATTCAACATTATAATTTTCTGTCTAATAGAATCACATATAGACGCCCCAGTGTGGTCGTGAGATCCACTGCGAGACCACAGATCCAACACTCTGTCCTTCGAACAGGTCTATCCGCGTCACCTGTAGGCTGACGCTGATTGTATCACCCATAACAGATGCATTGCGTGTGGTCGGTTGTACGATTCTCCGCTCCACAGACAGTAGTCACTGCTGCCAGCTGGCTCCGGGTCAAACACGCGGTGGGTATGGCTTTGCGACGCGTGTGCTCTGTTGCTGTCCCGCACAGTGCAGCCTTGGGTCTCGTAGTGGCGTGAGTGGTTCGTGATTATGGTGAAAGGTCGTCAATTATATAGATGTTAATTTGTGTTTAGGTTATTGTTGAGGGCACGAAGTTAAACGCGTTGAATGTCAATATCAACTTAATTCATGGTTATTACTGATAATATTGCCTTACCAATAGTTACTGAGTGGCGCTGGGTGTGAACACCGAGATGCACCAGCTGGTAAGACTGCTGCAACTGTGGTGTCATCTCTCCTTCTTATGGAACTAACCATAACTAATGCGCACCCGCTTGATCGTTTAATCACTACCCCTTCCGTCCTGACTGACTGACCTGACACATTGCCCCGTCCTGACTGCCGTTCAGCCCACCAGACAGTCTAGGAACCGAAAGGGAAAAAGGGGGAGCCTCTCTACGTGATGACCGGCTGAGTGGGTAGGTTACTGTTCACACCGGGATAACGCCGTCTCGTCTCAGCGGAATGGCTCAGTCACTCCACTGTGTCTATCGACAATCGACTTAGTCCAATATCTACCCCCTATTATCGCATAGCATGGCCCTGCAAAATTACCTTTGTAGATCGAAAGTGTCTCTAACGGCATACCCTAACCTCCCCCGCCTCCCCCCCCCCCCAAAAAAAAAAAAAACACTGATGCTCAAGCCTCAAACCATATTCAAGCATATCGACTTACGACATTGTTCCTCCTTGCTTGTGTTTTGATCAGAGAACGACCCCGATTGACCTGCGGAGACGCTCGGCAGCTGAGGACTTCAACCGCCCGATACGAAAGTTCACGGCCTTGGCACTTTCTCTCGCCGTCTCGCCCCTCCCCGTATGAGGCGTGACTCGTCCCCATGCGTAGGTGCCGAGTGCGGTTGAGCTAGTGTGCGTGGGAGGCACCGTGTCTGGTGACGGTCGTGAGCTGTGACGACCTTGACCACCGTTTGATGTGAATTAATTTGAGTGCTGTGGCCTGTGATGACGCATTTCCCGGCAAAATTCCAGAATCCGCAGAAAACGTTTGCTGTAAGTAATCAGTGGGCAGTTACCAGCTGAATACCTTTATTCATGGCGTCTGAGCTGCCTGGCCTCACTGGTGAGACTCGGACACCGCTCGATGGCGCCGGGGCGGCAGCGGCTGCCGACTGCTACTCCCTGACCGAGGTCGCCACCACCGCACAGCTCCTGGAAGGTGAGGAACAGGGCCGATCGCCGGGAGTCCCGGGAGGGAGGCCGGCACGGCGAGGTCGCTATGATATCGGCTATAGACTGACCACTGATCAGTGATAAGTGACTGCAGTGGCCACTGACCAGTGTCACTAACCAGTGTCACTGACTTCTGACCACTGACTACTGGCCACTGACTTCTGACTACTGACTACTGATCACTGAATCCGACTACTGACCACTGACCAGTGTCAGCTGACATGTCAATTCTTGTAATATTTGGTTGGTATAAGTCACTCTTTCTTACCGAACTAACTATTACCGTGTGGTAGGGGAGAGTGGGGTAAGATGCCCAGGGTGGGAAAGACGCCCCACCCCCTCTAGCGGGGAAACAAAGAATCGAACCTGGAAATTAATGTTCTTAGCGTAAAGCGGAAGCCTGCCTTGTTAACTGCACAAAAATTTGCGAAGCTCAGTTGGGCAACGGCTGGCTGGTGATTGCATGTTTTTTATTTGCTGCTTTCAAAAAATATTTTAGCGTCAAAACATTGTAAATATCAAAGAAGGTAGATAATTTTTGCGTCCCTTGCTATAGTCGTGATACATTAACATACGTGTACTGTGTCCCAAACAGTTTGTTTCAGGGTGTAGTTTTATGGCTAACAAATTGTGCTGATTTAATGTTACTTCGGTACCTTGGGGTAAGATGCCCCCTGTCCTGATGGGGAAAGACGCCCCCCTAAATCCGTAGGCTGTCCTTCAAGCAGCCCGTCAAATCATTTATTACATACTTGTGATGAGAGACAAAAGCCGATCTGGGACTATTGAGAGTCCGGTAGGGTCGGGTGCTCCCCATGCCGGTCTCTCGGCCCACACAGCGACTTTTTGGGCGGCATCTGACTCTGAGAGCCCTCACGACGACCTCTGTGGGCCCCATTATTGGTTCCAGGGCCCCTCACGACATCCTTTGAGGGCTCCCACGTTGGCTCCACGGGCCGCGCTGGCATCTGAGGTCCCCACGATGGGCTCGAGGGCCCTCAAGCATCATGAAGACCTATAAGGGCCCCACAGTGGTCTCCGAACGCCACCACGGAGGCTTGTTTGGCCACGCTGGACTATGATGGCCCTAACGATGACCTCTGAAGCCCCTTACGACTACTTTTGGGGGCCCTTACGATGACGTTTGGTGTCTACTGCAGGCTCGAAGGGACTACTGATTCGTTCAGGCGATTCAGGTGCCTATTTATGTCACTTATAGTGCAGGGGGCATCTTACCCAACGCCAGGGGCGTCTTTTCCACCCTGTGGGGTAAGATGCCCCCTTTCACTTCTTCAGGAAAATGCTTAATAGCAAAAAAAGTTATCATATTTCAGGCACGAAAGTGTGATATTTTTGGAGAAAAATGATGTCGGCTTCCGTTGAAACTCCAAGTTTTGGCTTTCCGATCGTCATTTTCGAATAATATATGACATAGTCAAACCCTGGGCATCTTTCCCCACTCTCCCCTAATCGTGTTTGATTTGGTGTGTATGCGACGACCGGGTTACGTTATTTCATAGATCTTTGTATTACGTAAAATGTCCATGGATGTCGTTTATGACTTGCTCTAATCCTTATTTTATTCTTTTGTTCTAACAAGAACAATTATATGCCATTCACATTTCCTTCCGGTATGAACAAGACTCTTTATCGAGTCGACCCTCAAACATCTCCACTCTGCTTCAGACCTGGGAGGTTACGTCATCACGCTATGGGTTGTCGTCGGTCTGGAGGTGTTGTTTCTCTACGGCCTTCTGGCCAAGACGCTGTGGAGCGTGTACCACAATGAGCGACTGCCCAAGCTGTGGCGGTCTGGAACCGTCTGGGCTAACTCAGTGCCCTCCGTAAGTGACAGGGTGCCTTTCTCTGCATGTTTGCAACATGCGATCCGACCTTAACGATATTTTCGCACAGCGTTGTACTCAAAAGACCAAGATTCTTACAGATAAGACTAGACCAGTTGCTTGCAGTCTCGGTCCTGATTGATGTCTGCTCTTGACAAGTCTGGCAGCAATGCTTCACATATTGAGATGGGTAATTATTGAAACAACTGTTGAAGAACGTCAAATAACATTGTGCTCATAAGTGTATTATTTGTTTGAAATAAGTGTTTAACTGTGTACACCGATAAGTGTTCATTTAAATGTTTCCTTTTATGACATTTACCTACCCGTTTTTCAGTTTGTTGCTTTGATGTGCCTCGGAAGCCTGGTTGTCCCGGCATCCGACAGGCTTTTACGTGCGATAAGGCTCATGTGAGTAACGAGTCGGCAGTTATTGCCGATAAGCCTTTATTTACTAGAAGTCGCTTAGAATACGAGTAATATTATGGTGTAATACGAGTACCTAATCAAACGGTTGTTTTGAAAGATAAAATATCTTTCAAATAATATTTTATAGGACATTAAACACTATGCCTAACAGAAAAAAATATTTTTCATTATTGACGGGATAAGCTAAACTTCCTAGGTACTGTCCGATTCACTGCGTGTGCATCTGTGCAATGTGCATGAGGCATCACACGACAGCTCGCTCGTCAGCTGTACATGTGTTTTCACTGCAATAACCCTTCATACAACCATAATGCCCGGAGTATATAGAACAACATAATGCCGATGGATGCAGCAACCCAACGTTTAGGAAAGGTGAATGAAGTGGCGTGCATTGTGCAATGCGAGCCAGTAAAATCGGTTGTTTTCCAATTGCAGCACCGTGCGTACTTACCTACCTCCGACGTCCACGGTCGGGCCCACGTCACGATTTATGTGTGTGAGATTCTTTCAGAGCAGTGCGGTTTTGCCGACAGATATCTGAGTGTTTCCTTGTCAAAGTTCGTCGAGCTGTGCCTGCTGTACTTTGGCGGCGAGTCGCGACTGTTGGCTGCCGTGGAGGGCAGCGCCGTTCCCCTGGCTGTTCCCCCGTGCTGCTGCTGCTGCCGTCCCTGCTGTCCGAGACCCACAATCACAAAGTCAGTGCCGCAGGTCACAATGATCTCATAAGCTGAACACGCCGGTCTATATTTTAGCTTTCAGTTTAAGCCTGAATTTAGCCTAAAGCCCGCACAGGTAACACACATTTTGCCTATTGTCTGGCTACAGCCCACCGATCTGTTCATGCGTTCTATTGTTCCATTATGTTCATGTTTCCATGCATTTGAGTATCAATGCATCTACATAATCTCTGTGGCTTGTGGGCCGACAGACGTAGCATACGGGTGATGAAGGTGCTCGTCTACCAGTTGCCTTTCAGTGTCAGCGGATATTTCTTCTTCTCACTTTACCTGTACTCAGCAGGAATGCAAAATGTTGGAGAGGTAAGCAAAATGCCCGCGCTCTTTCGGATTTTACGTGATACAGAGCAGACATCTGCCTAAAATGGTTATCGAAATTACTTCTTAAGAAGTGCATACAAATGGTTATTAATCTGACGGTTCATCTTCCAAGGAGGGTGATGGGGCAAGCCCCTTAGTTATTCTTTTTTTGCCGTATGTTTTTAAAGGGCATCTTATGAGCAATTACTTCTTGACGTTCAGAACTCCTGCTTTCCGCTCTTAGGCATCTGGCGGTCCAGGACACGTGATTCTTATGGCACTGCATGCCGTGGCGTTTCTCCTTGGCATGTACGGCCTGATCATGCTTGAGACAACCACGAAAGGACAACTGCAGAGCCTTCGCTATCGGGTGAGTGAGCCTAGATCGTGTTAGTTAATTGTAGGGTAAATAACAGGCCGATATCATAGAAATAGGACACGGCAGAAGGCTCTGTCCACCTACTGAGGGCAGTGGAAGGCTGTTCTCATTGACGACTGCTCGAGTCGAGTACCTACACAGTCTTGTGGAGTTGTCGAGACGGATATCATGCAAAAAGCGTACAATGATAATTAGCTCTAGCTAATTATCATTGCATAGCACTAGCTCTAGCTAATGCGTCGTGAAATAAATAAACAGAAATATCGATGGTCTAAAGGCCTGGCTACACTATGCGTTTTCTGCGTGCGTTTTTGCAGGTTTGCGTGTTTTGCGTAATATCGTTCTAGGAAAAAAAGTTATAAACAATATAATTTTTTACTTTGGTTATATACAAAAGCTTATATAACTCTTATGTAACTAAAATTTAAGGTGAAAAACATCACAAAAACGTAATATCGTTCTTTTCTCTAGAACGATATCACGCAAAACACGCAAACACGCAAAAAACGCACGAAGAAAACGCATAGTGTAGCCAGGCCTTAAGCCGTTTTTGATAAAGCTACTTACATAACTTGAAACATCAACTCCATTCTTTTAAAGATAAATTAATCATTTATGTGTGGCTGAGAAAATGGCTACCGTCGTTGGTTAACGTCCACACATAGGTATATGTGCTGTTTTTATTCATGTTATTTTGTCACCGCAGGTTGTTTGAAAAGACAAACACTATTCGTAACCGCAGGTTGTTTGAAAAGACAAACACTATTCGTTAGAAATGTGTTTTTATATTGAAAAACAACCGGAGCGGTCCTTCTCCGGGCTATGTCCGTTGCGGGGGCGCCTTTGCAAAGGTTATAGCTCCACAACTGCTTGACCGATTCACTCGTGGTCTTTTGTGTGGGATAGCTTCTTCCTTTCTCACACGTAGTGTGCTACTCTCGATACGTATGGGTGACCCCTTATGCACGTGCTACGTGCAAAACGAAGAGGCGTCAGTATGGTAACAAGTCTAATTACTCTATAGTTAGTTTGCCGATTGCGCTGATAATTGGCATGGATGTAGGCAACCGCCGGGCAATGCATTTCCATGTGTCACGGTTGGGGTGCAGCTGCACGTGCGCACAGGCAGGGTGTCGATTCTAGATCTCGAGAACGGCTGGGCCGATTGTGATCAAAGTTGGCACACCGTTAAGGATCGGCGAGTAGGGTGCCGTGCACAACTCAGATGGGACCCATTTGGCACGTGCGCACGTGCAGGCTGACGCTTCCAGATCTCAAGAACGGCTGGGCCGACTGTGCTCAAATTTGGCATACCGCTAGAGACTGGTTAGTAGGGTGCCGTGCACAAGTCAGTTAGTATGTATTTACATGTGCCAGTGGCGGATCCAGGGGGGGGGGCAAAATGGGCATTTGCCCCCCCCCCAAACGGCATGATTTTAACATTACGCCTATGGACGATGCATGGAAAGAATCGATAAATTTTTATGGTTTGCCCCCCCCCCAAACCTCTGAGCTGGATCCGCCTCTGACATGTGCCACGGTTGGGGTGCAGCTGCACGTGCGCACGTGTAGGGGTCGCTTCCATGGATCTTGGAAACGGCTGGGCCGATTCAGATCAAATTCGGTACACCGCTAGAGACCGGCGAATAGAGTGCCGTGCACAAATCAATTGGGACCCAGGTTGCACGTGCGCACGTGCAGGGTGTCGCTCTAGATCTCGAAAACGGCCGGGTCGATTGCACTCAAATTTGGCACAACGCTAGAGATTAGTTAGTAGAGTGCAGTGCACACCCACTCCCACTCCGGTCTGCACGTGCAAGGCTCATCCTCTCGTTTGGCGGCGGGCGTTTTTGCGGCGTTACAGAGGTGCTTGCTCAAACAACCTGCGGTCCCGCGATGCGGAGCCCAGCATCGCAGATGCTGGTATCTGCTTACAATGTTGTTGTTTGCAGGCAAAGTTCGCGCTAATGAAATTCACCGTGGTGATCATCAACATCCAAAAGTTTATCTTTAGCATCGTCATATCCACCGGTGGCTTTACATGTACTGCTTCAATGTCGCCAGAGGTCTACGGCGCGTGTGAGTTGACAAAGCGACTATCGATCATGCGGCTGCCTGCATGACATTGCATTGTGTGTTTTTTATGAACATGCTGTAAATTCAACAAAGGAATATCATATTTATGTTAACCCTCGCCCTGGCAGGGGGGGGGGGGTCGATGCCACCCCCCTAAGGTTTTTCGAAGATAGCGTAAAAACGGCGGCGCGCAGCGCCGCCAAATTTGGCACAGCCTATGGGGCAACCTTTTTACATATGACCTGAAAATTTTAGGTCCGGGTGACCTTGGGTCAGGTCACCAGGTCAGAAAAACCGGTACAAGGTCATGGTCAAATTTCAGTTTTCTTTTTGCACCTGTCCAACTCACAGTTTTGCACTGATTTCCTTCAAACTTTCAGGATGTGCTAAGTTCACCGAGTTGTATAACATATAGTTCGGGTTTTTTGAGGTCACTGACCTGAGGTCAGTTAGAGGTCATTACGTCGTAATGTTAAGCCTATGGGAAAATACTAAATTCGGAAAATACTGGAGATATCCGCTTCGTTCTATTACTTTTGTGCTTTGAAACCACAGTACTTAACAGCAGGTCACTTGGTGCTTCTTTGTATGGTGTACTTATCCATGGGTCAGGTCAAATGAGGTCAACTGAGGTCAAATGACGTTTTTGCCAATAACTTGGCACATAATGACGCTAGAGCTTAAAAAATGGTATCATTGTGTTCCTGGTGATCAGCCGAATCGAATAATATGCGATATGATGCAATTTGGTTAACTTTAACTTAATTTATTAACTTAAGTTTACTTAAAATTTAAGAAAAACTTTAAGTACACTTCAGCAAGCTAAACAGTATATCATTCGACGCGCCTTGACGTGCTGAGTTCACTGGTGCTTTTCTTTTTGCCCTATCTTAATTAGATCAAAAGTTATAAGCGAAAAACTTTTGACCTGTTTTTAGCGAAATTTTTACATTTACACCCCCCAAAACCCCCCTAAATATTGACCTAGAGCAACCAAATTTGCACAGGGGCGAGAACTCCAGGGGGGCCACCTACCTACCAACTTTGGTGTTTCTAGGTGCCATAGGAGCCAATCGCGAGGGGGGGGGGTCGCATCGACCCCCCCCCCCTGCCAGGCCGTGTTATGAAAAATGCCCTGCCAGGGCGAGGGTTAAGTTGGCACAGATAAATCAATCAAACGTATAACTGGCCACTAATTACACGATTGAATTAAGCAAAATACATAGATCGCTATGTTTACGTATACACCATGCAGTGTCTCTCCATAACCTTCTTTATCTGCTATTGCTCATCACTTGTCTCGTCCCTTTCCCGTCCTCCTGTACACATCTGCAGCTGCTGTAGGCATCTGGTTCAGTGTCTGACAGTCGCCTGGCTGACGGCAGTTATCCTCAACATTGTGATCGCCGCCGAGATGCTGCTGTTTGGCGTGCTCAACCACTGGGCCTACCAGGCGGACGGCAGGTCGGTCGACGACCTCACCGCGGCCGACCTGACCCCCTCCGGCAGCCCTGCCGACCGCGCCGGCACTCCAACGTCACAGCAGACATGGACGTCAACGGCGCAACACGAGAACGTCGGCGCAAAAAACGACCAACGGATTCAGTGGAGCGTAGGCTGTGCCGCAATGACTGTTACATAACAGTTATTATGCTTCACCTTTTTCGTCTCGGATGACAATGAGGTAAACAAAATTAAAGCAAATGCTTCGGCTGTATTGATTGACTTTCTGTGCTGGTTTGAAAAGGACAATACAAGAAAGAGATGTCTGAGAAATATGTGGAATAACATGTATGTCGCCTTTTAAGTGGTATTGGGTGCACTGTTTAGTGAATACATTGTTAAGTAGAACTCCACTCCCAACGACATCTTCATGTTTCTACCAACACACTGCACTTCATATGTTCGCATAGGCACTAGGTAGGTAAACCGCATTGAACTCTGCGTGCAATGCGCGTACCGGAACGTCTTCGCCTTCGCAGAATTCGAACAACTACCATAAGGACAGTGCTTTGCGTTGCAACCTTTGAATAATATGGAGAACGTTTGGCTGCAAATGAGAGCATAAGTGCCGAAATAAACACTGCACAACTGCTTGAATGGTCTATCTGCAGTTATAGTTTGCAAAGTTATAGTGTCTATTTAAGCCGTCCATCTGCTTTGTACCGAGGGTTTCAGCTCAATTTCGATAGTGCCCCTGGCCCAGGGCTGCGGAGTCGGAGTCGGAGTCGGAGTTTGAGTCGGTCGGAGTCGACAGTTCTGCCCGGAGTCGGAGTCGGTGTCGGAGTCGCCAAAATCTTACCGACTCCGACTCCGGAGCCGGAGTTAACGCTGCATGGCTCAACGTCATGCACTGCACTTGTTTGATTGACGATACCGCACTCGAAATAAGATTGAGTCGAAAAAGGCTATTTTGCTGTTTTAGACGATCGTTTTCAGCGGAAGAAGCAGAAGACGGGGAATACCCAGAATCTGCTTTCTAATTCTGCGTGCTATTTTTAATGCATATTTGCAACGCAAAGCCTTGGAACTTACAAGGGATCGTTTCAGGCAAGGTAAAAACATCTCCATTATGAACTTCAATATCATGCTATGGAATACTTTGTGAATGACCTCTCCTTGAAATTGTATGTAGGATATATTTTACAAAAAGTCAAATACAGAAATGATAAATTTTCGATCACGGATCTTTGTCAAATCACATTCAAAATTCAAATGAGACACATTTTAAATAATCGACGCCAAATCGACTCATTCAAAATAGAGTTTTGACAGCACATGCGCCTTGCAAGATACACTTCCACTAAATAAAACACAGTCAAATGCCTGCATTATCATTAGTCATGATATATAGTGCCTACCATCACATAATAAACAATTCAACAATATGACACACATCTAAACAATTTTCACACCTAGTTTTTTCCGCCTGGAATTTCGCAACACTTCTGTCTCATGTGAATACACAAAGCATACAAGTAAACAATACCAAAGAGCGACGCAGAACACTCAGAACTAACGAATCACGCCTATAACCTGTCGAAAACCTAGAGGAGTGCGAACCTAAATAATAGGCCAAGACATCATGTTTTCATTTAATTTGGGCTTGTTGTCCCTGATGTAGAGTGATTCAGTGATTTTTCTATCGGGATGATCTAGAGTTCGTCGTAGCACAGCTACTCCTAACGCAGCCCTGTCGCGATCATTTTCTGGGTGTTTCTTTCTAAAGTGGTCCCCTATGGGTGTATATTCAGTGGCGTTCAACATACTCCTACAATGCTCATTAAATCTCAGTCTCAATGGCCTCTTGCTCTCACCGATATATCTCTCGTCACAAAGTTTACAGGTCAGTTCATATACAACGTTTTTGTCGGTGCATTTACCCGCCGTAATGGCTTCACAGGTCGCACACGACCTGGATCCCGCTGGACACGGATCTTTGGTCAGTGCAGACGAAACGAGTGCCTTCTTAAGGGTTTTGGGGGCGTACCATCCTAAGTGAACCTTCAGATTCGACTTTTTCACTGCCCTTTTTACTTTACACAAAATTGTTTCGTTCACGTACGGAAGAGTGAGATAACTATGTGTTCCCTCTCTGTCCCGCTTCCCCCGTCCCTCACTGCCTCTTGACTTTCTATGACTTTTCCTAGATCTTAGTACCTCCTCTTTGATTCTACCCACTAGCCTTTTTGGATATCCATTTTTCACCAGCAGTTCACAAACTTTGTCGATGCTCCGCTTCATGGCATCTTCATCTGACGACAGCCTAACTGCTCTTTTCAACTGTGACCTAGCTAGACTTACCTTGGTTTGCTTTGGATGAGCCGATCTAAAATGGAGGAAAATACCTGCATTGTTTGGTTTCACGTACAGCTCTGTACTATATTTACAGGCACCACCCTCCTTTGATAACGTTACAAGGGTGTCCAGCATTGGAACAGACCCTGCACCCTCCTCTGTCATTTCACAGGTAAATTGGATGCGACTGTCAATGCCATTCAGATAGTTGATAAACTCAATGAGAGAATCTTTTCCATCTACCCAGGGTCTGTTCCAATGCTGGACACCCTTGTAACGTTATCAAAGGAGGGTGGTGCCTGTAAATATAGTACAGAGCTGTACGTGAAACCAAACAATGCAGGTATTTTCCTCCATTTTAGATCGGCTCATCCAAAGCAAACCAAGGTAAGTCTAGCTAGGTCACAGTTGAAAAGAGCAGTTAGGCTGTCGTCAGATGAAGATGCCATGAAGCGGAGCATCGACAAAGTTTGTGAACTGCTGGTGAAAAATGGATATCCAAAAAGGCTAGTGGGTAGAATCAAAGAGGAGGTACTAAGATCTAGGAAAAGTCATAGAAAGTCAAGAGGCAGTGAGGGACGGGGGAAGCGGGACAGAGAGGGAACACATAGTTATCTCACTCTTCCGTACGTGAACGAAACAATTTTGTGTAAAGTAAAAAGGGCAGTGAAAAAGTCGAATCTGAAGGTTCACTTGGGATGGTACGCCCCCAAAACCCTTAAGAAGGCACTCGTTTCGTCTGCACTGACCAAAGATCCGTGTCCAGCGGGATCCAGGTCGTGTGCGACCTGTGAAGCCATTACGGCGGGTAAATGCACCGACAAAAACGTTGTATATGAACTGACCTGTAAACTTTGTGACGAGAGATATATCGGTGAGAGCAAGAGGCCATTGAGACTGAGATTTAATGAGCATTGTAGGAGTATGTTGAACGCCACTGAATATACACCCATAGGGGACCACTTTAGAAAGAAACACCCAGAAAATGATCGCGACAGGGCTGCGTTAGGAGTAGCTGTGCTACGACGAACTCTAGATCATCCCGATAGAAAAATCACTGAATCACTCTACATCAGGGACAACAAGCCCAAATTAAATGAAAACATGATGTCTTGGCCTATTATTTAGGTTCGCACTCCTCTAGGTTTTCGACAGGTTATAGGCGTGATTCGTTAGTTCTGAGTGTTCTGCGTCGCTCTTTGGTATTGTTTACTTGTATGCTTGTGTATTCACATGAGATAGAAGTGTTGCGAAATTCCAGGCGGAAAAAAACTAGGTGTGAAAATTGTTTAGATGTGTGTCATATTGTTGAATTGTTTATTATGTGATGGTAGGCACTATATATCATGACTAATGATAATGCAGGCATTTGACTGTGTTTTATTTAGAGGAAGTGTATCTTGCAAGGCGCATGTGCTGTCAAAACTCTATTTTGAATGAGTCGATTTGGCGTCGATTATTTAAAATGTGTCTCATTTGAATTTTGAATGTGATTTGACAAAGATCCGTGATCGAAAATTTATCATTTCTGTATTTGACTTTTTGTAAAATATATCCTACATACAATTTCAAGGAGAGGTCATTCACAAAGTATTTTAAAGTAGGGGAGATCCGTGTAAGACGCCCAGGGTCGGTAAGAGGCCCCATCGCTTTTTTTACCAAACCAACAATGTTATTTATTTTTTAATGTTCTTGTAAAGCAGAAGCCCTCTTGAAACAACAACTCACGAAACCTGAGGTATCAGGTGCGTCGCAGCGACTTTTGGTAAGCCTGTTTCTGTTTTTGCCCCTTTACTTGCCAAGGGCGGCGCCACCGTGGGGGCAGTGGGGGCAGACTGCCCCCACTGGCAGGAGGTCGTGGGGGCAAGACTATGTTTTTGCCCCCACAAAATTAGGCTGATGTTGAAAAGGAAACAGAAGACCGGTGCAACATTCATGATAGGCGATTATAAAAGTACGCCTGTTTTTGACGGTCCCCGTATCAAGTGCATCAGCAGAACGTTCGTTTTCAGACCGTCTGTCGCATATCGCCTACTCCCACTCATTCTCCTACTCATTTTCATTCACCAGAAGGCTGCCCTCGCGCGAGCTTGACCTTGAGGAGGTTGAGAGCGTTGAGAGGCAGTTTATCAAAAGTCGGCCAGAGATCACCCTCTTTTGGGAACCCTTAGACTGAGACTGAGCTCAGGGAGGTATGCAAAAATGTGATAGGTATGTATATCCGAGTTATCTGGAAATGTATGTGGGTCGCCCTAATGGAGCTTATTCTGGTATACCAATCGTGTGTGAGAGAATCGCACATATAAGTACTACGGGAAAAACAGAGAACTAGGTATTGACTATTGTTTTGAGGAATACACCATTTTATATCTCAACGAACAACATAACGTTTTCACAGGTTTGTGTCTCGCAATCTAATTTTATAGTTTTATTTGCTCGCGACTTTAACCCGGCCGGGCCCGGGAGGTAATTCCAACCACCGCAGCCCGGAGGTAGCCCCCCACCCACCTGTCTAACTCGGTAAATAAGACAGCTACGGAAACAAAAATGGTACCAAACGATCTACGAGGTATTTCTACGAGAAGATTCTAAAACACCTAAATTGTTTGACCTCAGGTCAATTTTCAAGGCCAAAGGTAAAAACCAGCACTTTTGTAGTGGTCTCAAAGTACGTGTTCCAGAGGACGGCAGGGTGCATAAAACCGGATAAAATAGATGTTAAACGAAAGAAGAGATTCTGACTACTCCGATGATGTGCATAACATTCAAATTCAAGGTAACGGTCATGCTTAAAATTGACCACAAACTTTGCACTTTTTCTTATATCTTGTATACTAAATTCCCAGATGTTTTGAAATGTTTTGAAGCTTAGCGGACCCCTATTTGTGCTTTAGCTTACGATACAAGGCTGCTACAAGGTCAAAGTCACAAGAGAGTATCCTTGCTAGAGGCTATTTCACTTATTCAAGTCAGGCATA